CTTTCGTAGTGAGTCAGAAAGCTAAACAGATAGTTGAAAAGAGTTATTGAAAAGAAAAAGAATAAGAATAAGAAGAAGAAGAAGAAGAAGAAGAACTCCGCATTTGAGGCACACAAAGACCACGAAGATCGCTGGTGGACTGACTGAGTGGTGAATACTGAGTGGTGAACACTATAGTGGATGCTGTCCATTTAGTGATATGACGAATCTGTACAAACATCATTCTATCTTTTTTGACATTCAGAGAGTAATAAAAGGGTGCTTTCCATTTGATAATACAAAACGACACAAGTGTCGTTTTATCTTTGTTATTCTCTGAATGTCAAGAAAAATAAAATGATTGTGTCAATCATGTATCATCAAATGGAAAGCATTCAGTGATAGCCATAGCTGGGCTTGCCAGGCTTAAGCCGGGTTAGTCGGGCTGTAGTTAGACGCATATAAACATATCTTGTTCACTTACTGCTCGAATGAAAATCAAAGCATGTAAGAACCAATGTAATATTGTAATCTGTACATCTATCTTTTGTAATACACACAGATACCTCTCAAGGTATTTACATCGAAATTAGCTGAAATGCAGTGGCCTTCGCTCAGCGTTATTCTTTCCGAGATATTTCTGGCATATATCATCTATTCGATATACACGCTATCCCTATTATTCGTATCGCCGACTTGCGAGGATGGCAAGCCGTGCCTTGAGTCGTATCTGAGTGAACGACCGCAGTTGGATTTGTACATGTACAGCTCCATTAAAAGAAATCCCATCAACAGAGATGCCGATCTCGTATATTCTGCACAAAACTTTGATTACAATAAAATACAAATCATGTGAGTATCCCCGTGAGGATCATTTAGGGCGCGTTCCACTTAACGTTCACAACGCTCGTGATTATCATTTCATCCTTATTTAATAACTTTGTTTAATGTTTGAAAACGATAAGGATGAAATGATGCTCGCGAGCGTTGCGAATATTAAGTGGAACCCATTCTTAAACCGTTAATGTTAATTAAGAGAGTTTATACTGGCTGTAAACTCTATCAACTTGTGCCGTAATCAGTAAGTTCAACACAATGATTTACATAGATTTACATGCTGCCATTTGCTGTAAAATTTAAATTTGAATTAATAATAATATATCTTTAGGACTGTATATGTAAGAGACACAAATTTGAATTAACTTTATGGTTATGACATAAGTTACATGTATCCCGTAATTCATTATGAATGAAAACATTGAAATTGTGTTAAACTTGAATGAAAACATTGAAATTGTATTAACTTTACTGGTTATAGTACAAATTAAGTTTATGATCAGTATAAGTACTCCATTAGTCTCTTTTTGGGCGTATCCCTATGAATATATTCTTTTTGTATATGTTATTGATTACATTTACACAACATGTTTAATCGGGTTTAATAATATTTTTAATTATTAATTAATTATTAATTTTTAATTATGAAATTGGCTAATCATAGCTGTTCTTGATTGGCCAATTTCATAACTACATATGTTATTAAACTGAATTAAGGATGCCATGTAAATGTAGTTATTGTTCTTGCCTTTTTTTTTTGAGAGAGAGGAAGAGAATCAATTTACATAAATCCAAGACAAGAACATTGTATGAAAATGGAAAGTCTTTGAGGGAGACTTTTCTCCTCTTGCAAATCTAATGAATGTACTTTCCTTTTTACAGTCCAATAATACTGACTGTACCACATGAGACACGGCGGAATGGAACATTGTTTTTACATATATTTTTAGTGCCTCCCTTTATAAAACAGGACAGGACATTTGTCGACTTGCAAAAAGTAATTCAATATGTAATATTGTGATATATGTGTATATATATATATATATATAAACACTTGTTTGTTGGACTCTCCAACATTCTATCTGTTTTACACCTTTATTATATCTTTATACTTTATACTTTAATTATATCTTTATAGGATATATTTACTTCGTACACTGCAATTAAAATGACACAATACATAGTACCTGAAGCAGAGGCATTCAAATTATTAGGTGACCGCACAGTGGAGAAAGCTAATAGCCAGATTGTTATACGTCCAGTCTCACACATGAAAAGTCGTGTGACATTTACAATAATGACAGACAACGTTACGCTTCCTATATATGGCATACCTGCCGAGCTCGTAAACCATATAAAGTATATAAATTTTTATTCTATTTGTGCAACATACGTATAGCCCGAATAATTGCTAATTATTAAAAACACATTACTTCGCTTGTTTATTGCAGAATAATTGGCAAACAGACATTTTTGCCAATAGTGAACTGTGATTTCTTAAGAACACGGCATCGGGACCTTCAGCGGATTACTCCACAAAATAATACGATGAACGTTGCAGTAGAATATTCACCTGTGTCTTTAGGAAAGTTAAGATTAGTGTTGCACGTGCAAGCAACCATGGAGAATCTCAAGAATCTCGGCTTCTCTGACAGAGATGTCGATGAGGTAAAGGGCATCTTTGCAGATACTAACATTTACCTACTAGGTGGTACCTTCTTCATTGCAGCTGTACATGTGAGTACAACAAGTATAAATATTACATGCGTAATGAAAATTGAAAAACGTAAGATAAAAGAGAGCGCCAATCTTTCGTTTACAGTTGTTGTTTGATTTCCTTGCTATTAAAAATGATGTTAGCTTTTGGCGGAAGAAGAGTAATCTCATAGGCCTCAGCAAATGGACTGTGATATGGCGTGCATTCAGTCAAACTGTGATCTTCCTTTATCTTTGCGACGAAGGTTCTTCTTTACTTGTTCTCATTCCTACTGGTATTAGCACTGTTATCGAGGTGCGTATATACATATATATCTCGATGCATCCAATATCTTAATTCTAGGAAATAAATGCCTTAAATGGTCTAGCTCGATCATAAGTGCTTATATAATTCTGTATGAATTTATATACTACATATGTAGTCCTTTAAATTGCGAGCCGAAATGATTTTTCGATCTTGAATCGGAAACGCTTAAGACGGAACGCTAGAGATCCAGGTTCGATTCTCGGCCGAGATAATATTTTTCGTAATAAGAATTATTTATTTACAGATTTTAATATGTCATTCAGCATTATTAAAAGATCGTTTTAAGATTCATAAAGCAATTTAACTCGTGATATTACTGTGATGGTTCAGTAGAGTTTGCGTTTCAAGACCGAAAAATCATTTCAACACGTAGTTTAAAGAACTACGTAGTATATAAGTTCACACAGAATTATATAAACATTTAAGATTTAGATAAATCATTTAAGGCATATATTTTCTATAGATTGATCATCATTCTCATGTATACGTCTTTCTTATAAGATTTAATATTGTTTACCTTAACTATAACGTTGTATGTATACACAAATATACACGCGCGCGCGCGCGTACGCACACGCACGCACGCATGCACACGCGCGCGCGCGCGCGCACACACATACACACGCACGCGCGCGCGCGCGCGCGCACACAAAAGATATGTTTAGATATGTTTAGATAAATCGTTTGATATAGCTACTGAACCGTACAAGATATGAAGAAAGCATAAATATACATTTTCTTTATTATTTTTTTATGTAAAAATCTGATAATGGAAAAAAATTATTTCCTGAATTTTTCAAGTTATATCAAAGTTAATTTTGTAAAAAAACACGATATTTTTATTTCAGTAATATGAAAAAAGGCGCAGAAAAAGATAGATTAAATAATCTCTTTAAACTAATCTTGAAATAATTCAAAAAGTCATAGGAACAGTACAGAAATTAACATATTTAAATTAACACATATATTAATTATTCTGTACCGTTATATATGTGTGTATACGAAATATAAAATATCTCGTGTTACTAATTTTTTGATAACCGTACCTTGATACTTTTGATGAATCACTCGATGCAAAGAAACTATTAGGTGTTGGAATTAATTCGTAGCGTTTTACAAGTGATGGGAAGTACTTTCATTAATGTATTTTTTAATGCTCATGTGAAATAAATAACATTCTTTCATTAAAAAACGCTACGAATTAATTCCAACACCTAATATATAGCTTCTTGTCAAATAAGATATGTAATTGCATAATTTTTTTTTTAAAGCAACTAATAAAAAACTAATAAATCATTTCTTTCGTGATATTGAAATATATAGTATTCTATGTAAAAAAAATACAAGATTAAAAAAACTTTGATATAATTTTAAAAAAACTAGAAAATGAAATTTTCTTTACATTATCAAATTTTACATAGGAAAGAAAGTATATTTACACTTTTTCTCCTACGATTTAGCAGTTATTTCAAACGACATTTATCTAGAGATCCTCTGTGTGCGCGTGTATGTGTGTGCGCGCGCGCGCACACATACACGTGTATATATGTAATATATTTAATAGCTATGGAAATTGAAAAAGATATCGAGAATGGAATTAATTAGCAGCGGTAGTATTTTCCCAAGAATACGATTTAAACCTGATAGCATTGATGCAGCAGAAGTGAAAACTAGAGAATTTGATGCCGAAAGTATGCGTTATTTGAATTATTTATTATATCCATTAGTTATCGTTGGAGCAATCTACTCGTTACTTTATCAACCACATAAAAGGTAAGCGACCACTTTTACCTAAAATGATAAAAATATATGTACGAAATATTTTGTATGCCCTAGATGAGTCGTTAATTAAATTGTTTTGAGTTACAGTTGGTATTCTTGGAGCATAAATTCTTTAGTGAATGGAGTTTACGCATTTGGATTTCTTTTTATGTTACCACAATTATTCGTTAATTATAAATTGAAATCCGTGGCGCATCTACCGTGGAAAGCATTTATGTACAAAGCATTTAACACATTCATCGATGACGTGTTTGCTTTCATTATAACGATGCCGACAGCTCACAAAATAGCATGTTTCAGAGATGACGCCGTCTTTCTAATTTATCTGTATCAAAGATGGTAAGAGTTTTCTTTCGTTTAATTCAAAATTTATATCGAGTACCACTGAACGTTGCCACTTATGTTGAACAGAGAGAGTAGATCGTAACGGAATGGAGAAAATGTTTTGATCATCGATTCCCACGTATGTCCTTTTCGACCGAACTGATTTGCCTTGTAAACAATTAATTCAATTTTTATAAATTTACCTTCAACTGCAAATATATACATTTAAAACTTGTGAACAGACTTGCTAAACTGGACTCTCTCAAACGGTTCTTTCTTTTAACAAAATTCTTCTACCTGATAAGCGACATCCAAAAACGTTTTTCTGTCCCTTTTGACTTTTCATTTCTTTTACCTGACTATTGTGAAAAACTGCTATGTCATGCATTCTTGGAAGGATCTAAACCATTCTTATTTGAAAATTTGTCAATCTGCATCGCTACCTGCTACTTGTTCAGTGGTATTCGGTGGTTTGTGCAAAGCACGGCCATTCTATTTGGAGCAGTCATCGTGGTATCACGTATGTATTGATCATTATTTTAGAATATAAAAAAAAAACGTTTATCCACAGGTTATATCCAGTGGATAAATCACGTGTGGATACTGATACAATCACAGAAGAACATGTTGATTTCAGCAACAATATGCACAAAAAAACAAATTAATTTTTATTGTTTACTATCATTGCTTGTCTTCATTATCTAGAACTTAAAACTTTCGTAATATCATGTTGAAGTGTTACTACATGCTGACAAACAGTATTTATATCAATAATGTAAAAATTTAATCAATATACACACACAATTGTTACAAAAAAGTATATTTTATAAATTTCTTTTATTATCACCTAAAGTGCATTGTTACAATTTTTCAATTTTTGTCTTTCTTTTATAAATAATTTCTGACGAATCTAACGAATCTTGCAAACAATGTATAATCGATGTGATGATATTATCTATAATGTTCTCGGCGCGTTCAATGACCAGCGTGACAAAGGACTCGTAGAAGAAAATTGCATAACAACATTGAACACATCAAGAAAAAGAACAGCACATTCTTTCTTCGGATATTAGCAGGTGTTATATGTCATCAAGTTACTTCTAGGTATGATTATATTTGTTACGTGAGATAATACTGTGACTGTGTTGTCCGATAACGGGGGACCTTGAATTATTTGAATCGATTCTAACACGATAACACGTCAGTCATTCGATATCTATTGATATATAATAGGAGAGAAACAGACCGAGAAGTCTACTTTGATGGTATTCACGTGCATATACGTACGCGCGCGCGTGTTGCGTATGCGCGCGTGTGTATGGAGTTGCCCGCGTGTGTGCGTGCGTGCGTGCGTGCGTGCGTGCGTGTGTGTGTGTGTGTGTGTGTGTGTGCGTGTGTGCGTGTGTGCGTGTGCGTGCGTGCGTGTGTGCGTGTGCGTGCGTGCGTGCGTGTGTGTTTGTATGTGTAAATATATTTATGAATATGTGTATATATATTCTTTACAGCGTAAGCGGAAATTATTGCAAACTGCAATATCTGTGCCACGTTACAAGATAAATAACGACACGCATTATGTGCGTTATACAAATTCTGATTTCGATTATTCCTGTATGGATTTATCTCGAGTTCATGAACAAGCAAATCTCACATTACCTGGGTTTAGGTAAGACGATCCAACAAATAAGTTACATAACTCTATTTTTCTTTATGTATCAAGTCAGGATAATACTAAACTATGACTTTGTTATTTTTGAGATGATGCAGCAATAACTGATTTAAAGTCGTTTGCTTTAAAACATGCTTTTGTAGATATACCGTTTATCCTAAAGCGTTGGTGGGCTTTATGGTGCATCTCGAAGAAGGAGAAAACAAGAAAAAGTAAATTCAAGGACAGCGATGTTATATTAAATATAAAGAAGATCTTGGAACCATGCTCGGATAATCCAAAAATTATTATGAACGAGAATGTAAGTAGTAATATTTGCGGTAGATTAATTGGTAGATTAATTATATGCAAAATTAATTTCTCAACAAGTCATTTGTATGATATAGAGTTGTGATAGTGTGTCTTTCTATGGTGCTGATCAAAAAGGTAATTCGTTGTTTGTTAAAATGACTCACAGAGGGTATCACAAAATAGAATTGATCTTGCAAGTGATCTTATCGGATGGCCGAGTCTACGTGCTGCCCGGTAAAAATCATTTTATAAAAATATCACATAACCGGTAAATATAACATTCTAATGATACACTCGTTTTAAATACACAGATTGTTCTGATACAATTACAATAGGAGATATAAGCCAAAAATGGTCAGCATCTGGTCTAAAGATTGAATCCTTAGAACCACGACAACGTTGGAGAATTACATACAATGGTTTCCTCCGAAACCAATGCCGAGGAAATACATCCAATAATGACAACGTGGAACATATTCGTCTAAATTTTATGTGAGTAGTAGCAGGGTAAATAAATTTGTAGGTACTAAAAAGTATTAAGAAGCGTAATCGAACATTCTATTTTATAAATACATTCCGTTTTTTAGATTTATTGGCAAACCGCGATCATTAGAATGGCCAGGTGACTGGAGTACCTATTTGCACGCGGATGCTTTAGCACGTGAACCGTGGAAAAATTCTGATTGGATGCACAAACAACTGTAAAACTTAACAACATTAATATATTTGATGTTTTATGTTTACATGTTTTCTCTTATTTCAGTGTAACATATAGATTTAAGCTTCCTTTTCTGTTGATAGTCAATTAATAGATGACACCGGTTTCGATTTATGGGGATCCATTATCGGACAGATAACGTTTAAAGATTCAAATACAAGTGAATTTTATTTACGAGGATTCTGTCAGCGACGTTGGGGTAAACATGAATCTTATCAATTTCATAAAACTATCACAATTGTTGGTGTAACACAACATGGAGCTATGTATTATCTTGGTGTGAGCAATACCAAACATAGCTTTTCACAGTAAGACAAATACATATTACAACGTTATGATAAAATAATTTGATATAAAATTTCCTATGTGAAGAAATCAGTCTAATTTTACATATTCTTATTTTATTCTATTGTATTACTATTATTTTCGTCTCCTTGTTGAAATATTACGATTACATCACATAGAAAATTTTATACAAGCAACGATTAATATTTTTTAATTACATATACTAACTTTAAAACAATGGAAAATACGTTAATCATTTGTGAAACGAAATTAATTGCAGCATGCAGTTTGGACACCTCCAGGAAGCCGGAGGGATGATAACTAAAATTGATTGGACCGATCTACAATTGAGCGACTTTGAGAAAGAAGATACATTTCCCATAAACAAGATTGCATTTACAGGTTTTTATTCATTGTCGATACAAACATCATACATGCATTGCATCATGCAAGATGTAGATATTGCGGCATGACGCTGCGTTAACATTACGTGCCATTGTTTTTCATTTTCCAGCAGCTGGAAAACAATACAGCTCCGTAATCAACAATTACTTCGTGGGCAACGCAATAACTTATTACAATGACCAGCAATGGGCTTGTACAACTCGTAATTTGCGTGTACAATTAAACGGCAGTACAGGTATGTCTCGATATAATAATTCATAACAGAAGAAATGCCAAAAAATTGAAAGTCTTTTTATCTACAAATATAGTATTTATAGGCTTGAATCTATTTTTAAAATGTACTAGGTGTTGGATTGATGATTACATGCTGTCCATATACTGGACCGAAGCAAATACAAACTTCGATCGCGAAAATTCAACGTATAATATGGCCCGACACATTTGCGCAAAAAGATAAATACATTCTACGTTTTGATGATAAACAATGCCAAAATGAAAGTGTCGTAGGAGGGAAAGGATATTCTCTTGCAATTCTGACATCTATCGACACCGATGACGTGTGTACTTGGGATAATTATTGCTCGTCAAAAAATTCTTTATTTGTAAAATTAATTTTTCTGTTTGTAGTTTGCAGTACCTCCAGGCTTTTGCGTAACGAGTTTCGCTTTGGAACGACAATTGCAACATCATAAACAATTGCAAAACTTAATCAATGATATAATAGACATTAGTTGTTGCAAAAAAAAAGAGGACCTCGAAAGTTGCTGTCAAAAGTACGTCTAACATTTCGCGTAAAATGTATGCGAGACTGCAACTAAGCCTGTTCTCTGTTTTTTCAGGGCGGTATCCATTATTCAGGGTACTCCTGTTGAAAAAGAAATTGCAAAAATGATATTACAGGGTTTGGAGGAATTAGAATCATTTGTAAATGAAAAAAGTGTTTGGCGTTATGCCGTAAGATCCAGCGCAATTGGAGAAGATAGCGAAGAGACTTCAGCTGCTGGTCAAAACTCGACATATTTAGGCGTGAAGAATACGAGTGACGTTATTGAATGCGTTGCCAAATGCTGGGCAAGTCTGTTCTCGTATCAAAGCGTCGAGTACAGGTAATTTATTCTTCTCTATAATGTTGCCTCGTTAACATTGTCTTGAATTTGTACATGATGTTTCTTTTAATTCAGGCGACAAAATGGATTACCGATAAGAGCTTCTATGGGCGTTTGCGTTCAAAGAATGGTCGACGCGGAAGCGGCTGGTGTCATGTTTACTAGACATCCGACAACTGGAGATCCATCCAGCATTGTTATTACAGCCAATTATGGCTTAGGAGAGGTCATGCTCAATTAATAAAGGGTGTTTTTTTAAGCCCGATAGATTTTTTTAAGCCCGATAGAACTTAAAATTGTAAAAACTAACACAAAAATTAAATTATAATCAAAAAATTTTTTTTAGTCGAAAGATCAATGCATGGCATTAATATTTGAAAATGATTTCGGGCATGGCCACCGCGGCTGTTTAATTTAATTTTTTGTTTTATTTTTTACAATTTCAAGTTCTATCGGGCTTAAAAAAACACCCTTTATTAGAAATACTGTTACAAAAAATATTTGAACATGTGATACGTACTTATATAAAATTGATTGATATTTAATATTTGTAATAATTATTGCACCAATTCGTGATACTTGTACATAATACAAATAACATAAATCTAATGTAACTTTTTTTTATAGACGGTAGTGTCAGGGAAGGTCGAGCCTGATACCTTTATGATTAATAGAAAGTGGGATAACACTCTAACTATAGATTCCTCAGTACTAGGAAATAAGGAGCACAAGATCTTACTTGATGATAGTAATGGCGTAATTACAAGCGCTCTAAGTGAACAGGAGATTAAAAAGATTTCGATATCCGATACATCCGCTCTGCGATTAGCTAAAATAGGATTGCACTTGGAATCATTTTTTGGGTCAGCTCGAGATGTGGAATGGGCGATTGTCGACGAGCAGATTTATATGTTACAAGCACGGCCTATCACAACCATTAATGCATGGACAGATTTCGAGATAATGCACGAGTTAGACTCAGGAGTACCCAGCGATGTTGATCTTATGACCTTTGCCAATATCGGGGAAGTGCTTCCATATCCCATAAGTCCTCTGTCAATCTCTACAATTATAAAAGTTTTGAATTTATCGCTTTGCGCGAAATTCGACAAGTTTGACTGTTGTTATCTTCATATGATCGGTATGAGATGCACAATGAATTACTTGGATGTAAGTACTTGGATTTTTGCATCTGTCGTGTTTACATTTCATAGAAAACTCTCACTCTAATATAATATAATTCAATTTCTCTAAAATAATCTCTAATTAATAAATTATCTCTCCTTCTGTCTTTTCTTTTAGTCGACTTTACAAGATGTTAATAAGGAAATGACAATGATGAACAAAATGATAGATTTAGCCATATGCGGACGTGTAGTAACGACACCTGAAGTACACGCGGCAGCAATAGAGAAATACGGTATCGTAAACAAATGGCGAAGATTATATGTAATGTACGAGACATTCATAACAGCATGGACAAATGACGCGTTAGTGAAAAAAACGATCAACATATTTAACGAGTACACTCTGGACGCTAACGAATTTGATACACCTCATGATTTATACAATACCTTAAATGAGAAATATGGGGAAATCTTTCTGGTAAGTTATGGCACAATGAATAAAAATTCAAATGAACATCTTTATTAAATTCAACCTTGAAACGTCACTTTTAAACAATTACGCCCTAATTAACGCCCGTCGTTAAAACACTTTCAGTTAGGAAAAGGTCATAACTTGGCATCTCTAGTGAGCGTATCTTACCAGATGATGGCGATGTCGCTTTTAACAAATGGAAGTGATAACTTTACGTCCGAGCATCTTGCGGACATTGCTGTACTGCTGAGTTCGTGCACCAATGTTATCAGTACCGAAGTGCCGATAGCCCTTGGTAAAATAGCGGCGTGCATAAGAAAGAGCGGCAAAGCGGATGAATTTAGTAAGCTCAAGATCGCGGAAGTTATGACCTGGTTAGAGTTGAATTGCCCTCCGGCTGCGGAAAAATTACAACTTTTTTTCAAAATGCATGGTCACAGATGTGTTCACGAATTAGATTTCTTCACAGAACCTTGGGTGCTTAAACCTGATAATATCATCAATACGATTCAGGTATGATAATTCAAATTATTTACAAAAAGAATTGAAAACATTTCGAATGAAGGTGACAACGTATGTTCATACACATATATCCCTTAATACACACCTTTGGATCATTCTTGTCCTGCGCATTTCTTTTCTTTGAAATACAAGAGTATCTAGTCAAATACCGATGTCTTTTCTATTTCTAAAAATAGTTTGGCATCTAGAGAGCAAGTTTTTTGCGTTCTTGCCGACCTCAATTCGTGCGTATCCTTTTACTGGCATAACTTCGAAGTTCACCTCTGGGTCACAAATGATCCAACGTGTGTACAGAGTGTACATTTTTTGTAACTGAACAATTTTAATTTTTTTATTTTCAACTAATTCTCGGTTGTATTGCAGGAATATTTCGAATTATAAAAAAAAAAATTAACCTTAGAACAACATATTAGCATTATTAGCATTATTAATAAACAAGATTTTTGGTACCCTTGTGCTAAATGTTGTCAGTAATATTTATATATTATGTTGTCTGTAATATTACAAGGAACATTTTCCTAATAAATTATAAGTTTTTTAACACAATAGAAATAATTAAATGTTTAAAATGTAAATGCAATATATCTTCAATTTATAGCCATTCGTGCATATTAAAATCATTTTCAATAACTAAATTTTTTGGACAGCCGACACTTGAACCATTTTTTTTGTAGTTTGAAATGTCAATTTTAGATATTGAATCATATTTTTTCTTTAAACATTTTTATTTCAGAGTTTTACATTTTTGTATGAAACAGTGCATTTTTTTTTCATTTTGTTAACTATATTTAATTATAACACTTTATCATGAAAATACAATACTGTACACACAAATACTTTCTAAAGATGTCAAAATGTATGTAAAAATCGTTTAATAATTTTTATGTATTTGTAAAAATGATGAAAATTAATCCAGAACATGATCGAACATATGCAGTAAGGATACCCAAAACTAAGGTGTGTGTGCGTGCGTGCGCGCGCGAGTGTATGTGTATACGTACGTATGTATGTTCTCATTATTTTGCTAGGTACTAGCAATGTCCATTGAAGAGAATTACGTGAGTAAAACGCTTAACGTGGAAGAAACCTTAACATCTTTGAAGACGTCCACATCATCGATTATCAAGTATTTTCTGCGGAAAATAATACCATTGTGTCGAAAAGCTGTCACGCTCAGAGAAATGACGAAAAACGTAACTATATTTGCTACGCATATATTGAGATTAGCTTATAGACGACTTGGTGTTTTGATGGTTACGGAAAGTTACATACCCGATGAACAGCTCATATTTTTCCTGACGCATCAAGAGATCGGACAACTATTGAATAATCATAATCAATCACTCGTACGCAAGTGAGTTTGATTTTACACTATTTTTTTTATTGCATATTATTCAGCGCATCATCCTTTATCCTCTGTGTATTATCATAATTTGCCGTGTCTATCTTTAAAATCTTTCAGAGCGTTACGTAGAAGAAAGATTTATCAGAAAGTAGCAAAATTTGAATATCCGGAATTCAGTACTGGCATGCCAGTGCCAATAGAGGTTTGTAGTAAATGTTAGAGAGCCAAGTACAATCGAATCACTTGTGGTTGTGTTCCAAAATTTACTGTCAGTACTGAAAATGTATAGTACATAGACTGCAGATTTTAAGCGCTAGCAGTGAATTTTGGAATATAGCCTATTATTGTAACATCCAAAAAAATCATTTTTATATTTTTATATTTTTCAATATATGTATTTCTATCGTATCCCTAATATTTATATTGCATATATACTTTTTGTCACCCACAGCCGACCTTCGATATCTCATCCTACGAAGGATGTACAAAGATTGAGGGTACTTCAGTTTGTGGCGGTTCTGTACTAGGCAGAGCGTGCGTGATAACCGATCTGTCCGAAGCAAAAATTATACAGCATGGAGATATTTTAATTACACACTGCACCGATATCGGTTGGAGTCCATATTTTCCGTTATTAGCTGGAATCGTAACAGAATTGGGTGGTTTAATAAGTCATGGCGCCGTTGTGGCAAGAGAGTACGGTCTTCCTTGCATCGTTGGTGCAAAAGGCGCAACCCAAGTTTTTCAAACGAGTAAAGTTTCTCATGTTACGCTGTATAAAAACGATCTATAACATTGAGATTTTCATTTTATTAACTTCTTTTTGTTAATTGTTTTTACGTACGTTCTTCTATTTCAAGTGACAATTTTTATGTTCGTCTTTTATTTCAGGTGACACTGTATTATTAGCTGGAGACGTTGGAACGTTACAACTGATTGAAAAAGCCTAATTTCTCTAATTTGATTTTATGTGGATATCATTCAATGTGTGACAAATATTTTTTGAAACTGATTAATTTCCACAAAAAATATAAAAATCAGAAAATAAAATTGATTACATAGTGAATTAAAGTCTATTTTATAATTGCCGCATTACAATCAAATACAAGTCGCAAGAATTTGTGGATTCCATTGTATATTGTATAATGTACCATATCCAATATATGCATACGTAAATACAATAATAGAACTATTAATAATTTAATATTAATAATTACAATGTTCTCGTAATCACATTACTTTGGTCGTTATAAATTATACAGTGGTAACGCGTTCAGGATCCGCCATTAAATAACGAATATTTCCCGTTATCTCACTGGTAAGACACGACAATTGCAATCGCATACACGTTGCGATTTTTGACAAAAGGGCTTCTACTCTCATGTGATCTTCCTTATTTACTGGCTGAGGTATCGCGTCCAGAGCTTCCTCGAAAAAGCTTCTGCTTAATAAAGGAGAGGACAAGAAAGATCGACTTAGAAATGTTAACAGGTTTTAACATAATTTTCAGGGTGATACTCTATTCTCGATATCTAATTTTTACCTCGCTCTACTTGTGCTGTAAGCTTGCAGGGCGTTTCTCAAGAGTATAATATCCGTTCGAGCTTGAATAATGCCAGCCGGACGAAATTGTGTAACGCACGACATGAGTCGCGCGAGTTCCTCTGCTATAGTCTCTATTATATGAGACAGGATCCGTTGTAATAGAGCTGGTGCAACTCTACGTACCTGCGGAAAGATGATATTAGAGATGTAATAAAACGATTAAATCTTATCCCCCGAGAGAATTTGCCACACCAACATCTATTACCTCTGCATGTACCGCGATTAGATTCGCCAATATTTCTTGGGCATACGGTTTCAAATGAGTCGGTTCCGTATCAAAGTCCCATTCTAAACCGCCTAAATACATGCTAGGCTCTATCGTACCGACAAGTGGATCGCAACGGCGCTCTAGATAAGCATCCAGAACAGCACTGTCCAGCGTTTCCAATTGTGTCCAATCAGAGTTCCATCCGATAGCAGTGGATAATTCTGGATAGCCTTGCGCTTTCAGGGCATCTCCGATTCTTGGTAAAACAATATTTAGCGTGTATCGTATATTACTTAATGAGATTAAGAGACACTGCTCCCATGTCTGATAAGAAATTTATAGATATTTTAAGTATTGGGTATGTGAAAGCAAAAGGATTGTTATACTGTGAGTGCCAAATCGAATTTATTGCTTACTGGTCCTTGATGTTTATTGGTTTTGTTTTTATAACCAGAAGGCGATCCAATCAATTGCGAAACCGAAGTTTCATCATTATCCATAGCTTCCTCGCAGCCGCTAAACGCCAATTGTTGTAGGCACCGCGCGAATGATATGAATAATGTCTTAATGACATTGTGATAGATAATCTGATGTGCCGAATTATTGAATAGCGGTCCTTCTCTTGGACCACAAGCAACTACCGTTTCTCGCGCATGTTTCGATATCACCAAAACTATTTCCTCAAATAAGTATGGCTGTTGATATGAAACGACACATACATAATTAAGAAAAATAAATGCGTAATAAAAGCAGCAATTCACTAAAATTTCAGGTTTTGTGTTATATTATACCAGTCTCGTAACTCCACCATCCTCGTTCAAGTATTCTATCTGCCACGTTTCTTTTTGACTCAGAGCTGCCGTATTGTCTGCTCCTTGTTTGAAGAGAGCAATTAAACATTGTATCCTGTGATATGCAAAAAGTTAAATTGATATATAGATATATGGGTAATGAAAAATTTAATTAAATGACTAATTATATTTTGAGAGTATACCTTAAATCCAATATAAACGAACCGAAAATATCAAGAGCCTCGCTAGGTAAATCCAGATGTATCAAAGAAGCATACATTTGTCTAACACAACGTAAGATATGTAAAAGCCACCTTGCCTCTACATCGTGACTGCACATACTCTTCATGGCCCCCATAGCATGTTGCATATTCGATAAAACTAAATTCTATCATGGACAAAAAAAAAATATATATATATATACACACACACACACACACACACACACACACACACCCAACACACAATCTAATTTTTATAAAAATATATGTATATTTCAAATAAAGTAATATTTACGAGACAGAAATCGAAATGAAATAATGTTCATGTGTGTTTGTTTTTACTTTATTAACACAGTAAAAAAACGTAGGTTTAAGGTCTGATTGCATCAATGTTACTTTGACTTTAAGCGAGGCTTTAAAGAGAGAAAGTGAGAGCTTTAAGCTTCAAAGTAACGTGATGCAATCGGGCTTAAGACACGTAAATACATACCTTGAAATGACTTTGCTTTTCCACATCTACTGTTACATGTAGCTGTCCTGTGAAATAACTCTGTCCCAATCTCCATAGGTCTGGCAATTGTTCGACCACAATGTCACAAATTGCTTCGACGCATAAAATTTGTGGTGGAGAGTTATCTCCGTTATTCTTCTGTGAACGTAAATGCTTAATATTTATCGGTATAGACTTTGATGTTTTATTTGCATCTTCACAATTAATTTTAACTCTGTCCGAATGCTCGTATATAGCACTGGCAACGCTTTTCTCTAAATAATTTGCATGTGAAACTGGAATACAAAATTTGAAATTATCTTCTCTAAAGTAATTAAATGACACATAATCGTAATAAGTGTAAATAAAAGTGGCTCGCACGAACTTGTTTCATTTTGAACATGAAAGTGACAATAAATGAACACATACCTATCGCGTCCCATGCCGGATCACCTTCGGCATCAAGATTAACGAGGTTTCTAATAATCTTCTTACGCTCCTCTAAACTGAATGGCATCTCTTGTAATTTTTTCCGTAACAGCACTTTAAAATTATTGATTCTACTGTCAATTTCCTCCAATACCTTCTTAAACACATCTACCTCTGTATTTTTAAATAGATTCTTAACTCTAGCATAATCGTTAATTACAAGATCATAGTTGCCACGCTTGATATTCTTCTCAATGTTTATTGGCATACAAAAGAGAAATTTGTAACGTTGCATAACGGCCAATGCATTACGAGTGGCATCGGCTCTGTCCCTCCTCGCTAATACATCATCGAACAATTTATTAGCCTCAGACATAGACTGTCTGATGGCAGTTTCCAACTTCTCCGTAGGATCACTACCATAACTCTTCATGTCTGCTTCGAATTGATCCTTTAATGACATTATTGTATCAAGTTGTTCCATTACTGCTCCTACATTGGCCTGTTTTATAATTGATGAGAATGAATTTTAATTTTAATAGAATAACATGATTCTACACATCAGAAATATTCTTAAATCATAACTAATATTATATTTATCCTCTTATACCTTTAAAAATGATAATTGTCCTTCTTTTTGGGAATTGACTTTTCTTCGAAGATAAGCTAAACCAGCCTTTAAATCTTCCAAAGTCGTAGCATGGTGATGTTGTAATAAAAACCATCCAGGATGAAATTTTTCGCTTGTGAGATCTCCACTTCCATCTCCAAAAAGTTCAATTAGCTCATCCTCAGGAAACTTTTTGCTTCAAAACGAGATATAATTAATTACTTAATGTATAAAATATTACATATTATTGACAGTTTATCACAGTCGAAATTTAAAGATTTACTCGTTGCCTTCTACACTAAGTCCCAAAGGATCTTCCTGTTGATAGTTTGTAGGTGACAAAGCCCTTCTACCCCAACCTAAATTCTGCATAGGTGCTTCCTCCACCCATACTGCTGACTCTTTCATTGGACCTATAGTCTCGTGGTAACCGCGAAACTGTACCGTTGAAGTCCCTTGTCCTCCACTTTGTGTTGTCACTATTATATCTCCACGGCCTTTGCAAGGACCTGATCTTGCTATAATTTTGTTGGATGACTTCCATTCGGCCGAAAGCAGACAGTTGCATCCGCATATTGTCAATCCTGTGAAGCAATAGATGTAAAAAAATTGATGAAACATCGCGTACGAGTACGATTGATATAATATAATACATAAAATTTACGGGTCTCCTCCATGTCCATTCTTAGAATGCCAACATTTCGTGAATCTTGGACACGGAGGAAATCCGCGAAATACATAATCTTTATGTAGAAAATATTTTATTATAACCTTCTATACGTAAATAACTTTTTTCTATGTTATTTCTGATTATTTTACAAAACTCTCAGCGAATGACACTAACCTATAAGATCCTGAGCTTTATTTCCCAAAAATTCACCACGCATAGTCACCCGAGTACCAGGTGGGCCTTCCTTAGGTGATATTCCAGTGACTACGGGTGGAGGTCCCATTACATCAGGGATAATGTTGAAATTATAAGACACTTGACTTGATGTCTGCCTACGATGATCTACAACGCGTACATTCAGAACGACAACCACGCTCACGTACTAATAAAACCGAATTGAGGGCTACCGAGGGCTACCGAGGGCTACCGAGGATCCGGCAGAGTCCGGATGATCCGGGTCCAAACCAAACCGGATTCAGAGTCCAGAGCGCACAGAGATGCACAGAGATGCACAGAGAGAAACCTGATAGAGTTTTTCACTAGATACGATTACGCATTCAGTGCATATTAACGTTGTCGTAAACTAATGTAATCGATCTGAATGTATAAAAGTCAAATGTCCCAATTAATAAATCACCCAATGTACTTATATTTTATCAAATAACTGAGCACAATAAAATGTATTGAGGATTTCGCGGTTTAATTCGTTTCTATATTTTTATCAAACGTACGTCAATTTGTATATGTATAACGGATTTAAAGTTTAAAGTGCACTGAGTGCGAGTGCGCACCAGATCAGGCAGCGAAAAACGCTATAAGAATAGACATCCTTTTAACTTTTAACCCTCTTTTAACTTTTTTGCGTACCGAACCTCGTTTAGGTTTCTCGATCTCTGAAATGTTGCACTGATTAATCAAACTCGAATAATAACATTAAAAACAGTTTTGATCTAGGTATATCATATGAAACATATCGGAATGAATTTCAATCGGAATTATTCCTCGGAGTTTTTTCTAGAGAACACGATAGAAGGGAATCTAGGGAATAATCGAATAATTCCGATTGGAATCCATTCCGATTTGTTTCATGATAGGTATCTTGGAATCTTTCAATAAAAGAAAAAAAATCGTATCGTGAAAAGATTCGAGAAAGTAATAAATATTTGTCGCGCGTGCGCATATTTCTAATTATATCGCGCAGTAACGATGAAGTTTGTGATCATTTTAGATGAGTCTTTGAAAACAAGTGCGCACCCCAGTGCGAACATTGAAAATTTAAATTAATATTGTATTATATTTATAATTTAATAAATTAATTAATTTTACAAGGTGAAGTTTGTGATATGTTTTAATAAAAAGAAAAGTTGTATTTACGTATAATTAAGCCACTATGTAAACTCTTCCTTATATGCGTATAAAGATGCAATTAATAAGATAATAATTATTTAATAAATAAGTTAACTGTAAATAGAAAATTTGGATTTAACGTTCACAATTATAAAATAAGAAAGCGGAGAAATTTTTTCGTGTTGAATGATTGTGTGTGTGTGTGTGTGTGTGTGTGTGTTCGTTTGTTATTTATTTATTTATAAAAACGTTAAATATTGTTTCCAAATTAATTTGCGTTTTATAATTAATGAGTCATACGGAATTTTAATTTGAATTAAACAAACATACACATTATATATATATATGCGAATCAACTAATAAAAATTATAAAGCGACTTGGAAAAACCAAGATTTTTATTTGAAATGTCCTGGAATTATCTTTGAATTGATTAGCCCGATCGCTGGATACCTTAGGACTATATAGAGATCGTGCAATTATATAATCTCTGCCATTTCTTCAATTTGCTAGTCTATACTATAAGTTGAATAAATTTGAATCTCGGTATATCGAACGACGCTGATAAAGAACGGAGTGCATGCGTTTATTCATTTTTGTTCAAGTTCAAATCATCTCTCGTGACCCTCGTGACGATCAAAAGCTCAATGAGCTAAGCACACCCCTGCAGGAAGCTATAAGGAGCGATCGCGATGAGTGTGCGCGCGACAAGCACGTCGCTTAAGCACGCTTGAGTAGAAGGCGAGTTGTTGTGGTACGTGCCATACGTGCCATACGTGCCGCTGCGTGCTGTTGCGTGCCGCGGAGAAAAGCCAGAGAGTGCGTCTCCTTATTATTAGAGGAGCACACAGCTGGCACGGGTCAAGATGTAAGCTATCAAGGTGCGGGGATGTCGCGCTAGAGAAGAGCGGGTCCAGGCTGAGAGAGAGAGAGAGAGAGAGAGGGGAGAGGGGCGAGAGCAAAACGGAGGAGAGAATCAGACCTGGCATACACTGTCATGCAATGGCATATACGACAATGTTACACGAGGGTTACACGAGGGGAGAATAGAGAAATGGAGTAGCTGCAGAAAAAGGGGAAAAGGAGATCGATCGGTTGGTCAATAACTGTGGCAATGGAGGACATCAGACTAGGGTAAGAGAGTATATACTGTATATACTGTATTATTTCCGGTCTTGTCGAGAGATTCGTGCGATCGCCCGCGCCGATCGGGCACTACGTACATACATGTCATGTATATCTACATATATGCGTGCGGGGACAAGTGCGGCGCGAGAGTGAGCCGCCAGCGCGAATGCGAGCGCGAGCGCACTCTTGCCGAGGTCGTGCTCGTGGTCGTGGTCGTGGACTGTGACTATGGAGAGGAAAGTAGGACGCCAGGGGTAGTTGCTCGTGCTCGTGCTCGTGCTCGTGTCGGGGAGGGTGAGGGTGATCGCGAGCGCGAATCGTGAGGATGTCTCATTTTTTCGACTTCGCCGCTGGAATTGCCGGAAACGCGAACGAAGTCAACGAAGAGCGAGCTTCTCTACCAAGGCGGAGCTAGGCGAGAGCGATTCTGCGATGGCACAACGAGGGCTCGACTTCGACGATACGGCACACGCGTCGACGAGTGCAGCGAGAAATCGGCCAAGGGAACGTGAAAACGAACGGTGAAGGTCTGTCGCGGGTCTGCTGGCACGGGTGCTGGTGCTGGTGCTTAATACGATAAGTTGTCAGTGGTGACAATGAGACGGCACTTACACGCGTACTCCTCCGATGAGAGCTTTTTCCAGTTAAGTGAGAGTGACATAATATTCGTGTGAGAAATCAAAGTGAATTTTGATGATCGAGTCGATTTGTTGTTTATCGCCACGCAATCAACGATTTTACATGTTTTTTCTACACGCTCTTTCTCTCTCTCTCTCTCTCTCTCTCTCTATCCATCCATCCATCCATCCATCCATTCGTCCGTCCGTCCGTCCGTCCGTCCGTCCGTCCGCCTTGCTCGCATGCTCCTGTATCACTGTCATGAATAAGCGCAAACATCATTTTCACACTTGTCCTGACGTTACCAAAATTAGATGCGTAGAAGTGATTTCGATCGTTTTCTCCAAATGGAAAGCTCTTGCCATTGTGACCGAGTCTTGATCAAAGCTCGCAAAATATGATTTTTTCGTGAAGAAAATATTATTTGTGATTTGTGATTGAGATTTACATAATATACTATTCAAAATCTTGCGTAATTCTTTTCCATTTTCTTTCAATCTTGTGTAATTCTTATGAATTAAGAGGTACATCAAGCTCGGAGCGATATAAACCTACATTTCTTTTATCGATCTTTTTTCTAAAAGTTTAAATAGTTTTCTGTTTGTATAATATATGAAAATTAATATATGAAAAGAGCAGTGTGAGAGCACGCGGGAAATAAAATTATTAATTTACCATTAAACATTATGAATGACATAGTTGATGTAACGAATTTAAGTAAATGAAAAAGATTCTTCATTGTATGATGAATTAACGATTCTCTACAGTTGCCGCAGCTCGCATATTTCTCTTCGTTCGGTTAGAGAGATGTCGCGAAGCGTGTTGTAACATCGAACCGCCTTGTACAATCGATCATCAACGCGAGTGAGAGAGAGAGAGAGAGAGAGAGAGAGAGAGAGAGAGAAAATGATTGCGTATAATGTAAGGAACACGATCACACTTGTCAATTACGAATTGACAATTTTGACAGTACTGGCGTACCCGCGCGATGTGCTTAATCTTTGCTACCTCGCCATCAAGAAATGAATCTCATGGCAATCGCCGCCAGAATTTCTCCGTTATGGTCATACATAAGAGAGATTATCTTTCTATCTCTGCCTGTACAGCATTGGCAAATAAAGTTGTTTAGATTATCGAAATTAGATTTGATTTCTGCGTTTATTATGCGCTTATTTTTGCGGCAATTTTTTTCTTTTACGATCCAAGTTCGCTGAGCGATTATAGCAATTAATTATACGAGAAAATCGATCTTGGAATATAATTTTCCAACGTGTATACTTATATACTTACCTTTATCTGTGCCATCACGATAATCTGTTTTCTGTTCCTCCACTAGACTGCTTTAGAACTCTTTTTCTCGCTTTCGACTAATATCTATCTCACTTTAAGTTCTAAAAGTGTACATTAGTCACAGAAAACAGACTTCTTGTTTAAATGATGCAACTAAAATAATTATGGATTAACAATTAATCGACAACAAATGATATAACACAATTTTGTGTGTGTGTGTGTATATATATATACATATATATACACACACACACAGGATTATTGTTCTTGGAAATTATTATTTCTCTACTAAATAGTAAATTTTGTAGCATTTTATTTCACTTCTCTGTGAAATAAAAGTCAGAAACGAAAGATGAAGATGGAAATTTGAGCTTGAGTGTCTTCGCGCGTGACATTTGACTACATATTACATAAATATCTTGGAAAGTGATAATTATTGTACATATATACGTTTAATTTGAAAGTATGTACAGACTGTAATCTGCAACTTTGTGACTTGTGTATAAAGATATATCTTTCTCCTCGAGAGGGATCATAAGGAAAATCTTAACGCGTAGACTCGCATTTGCGCTTCGAAAGCGATGCGCTATAAATAGAAGAGCCTTGTTAGCGACAGCACAACGTAGCGTAGGTACGCGACCTGTACCCGCGCTATACCAGATGCATCAGGTACAACGCAGCTACATTACAACCACATTATAAGACATTAGGTCTGTTTTTTTAGTTAAACTTCTTGCACGGTTCATCTTTAATAAACAACAACGGACTCCTTGATATCTAAACGATAAGAATTAACGTAAAGGGGTTATACATGTATAGTATATAAGGATCAGTCGGCGCGGAAGACAGTGCGCAAAGATTTTCTAGTAATTATAAAACTATGATATTCTGATTTTATTGAACATTTATTGCAAGTAAAACAAAAAAAAAAAAAGAAAAAACATATAAGTGTACGTTTCGGTTCAAGATTGAGATTCATCTTTCTCACCACGTTGGAAGCGTGCAACAAGTTCAGCTAAAAAGAACAGGCCTGTTATTCGATCCGTGAATATACACATCAATTGTTCTGGATTCATCGCGGATTCTCAATCATTCAACCGCAATCCATTCTATCCATTTAATCTTACGCTTACGATTTTAACTGTGCAAAATTTCGACAGCTACAGCAAATTAAATTATTTGTTAAATGTTTCTTTTCTAATTTATTGTTTAAATTGTTTGCTTATTACTTATTATATCATACCACAAGTATCTGTATCCGACAAACGATCCAACTACTGTGATCCATTCGTATCATCATTTTTATTTTCGATCTATTCGTATCAATACGGCGATGTGTGAATTTCGTTCACTGGTCGGCGTAATTTTGCGCTTGATTTGATTTATGCTCATCGGTTTGCGATGCGAGATAATAGTGTCAGTAGCTGAAGATCGGCTATCAGCTTCATGTAAATAGATTGGTCAAAGTTATCGACCGTGCAAGTTGGATAGTAAGACCAATTTTGGCCAACTTGAACAAGGCAATTATTTCGAATATTATTCTTCATTGGTCTTTTCATATCATGTAGGCCTGCAGTTATTGACTCTTTACGAATGTATAAATCAGTATGGCTAGTAGCTGTCCAAACAATAATTTAAAGCCGGTATCAGACAACTCATTGAAGATTGAGATTACATGAAGACTGAAAAATCGAAATTTGATTAATTCAAATAAAAGAAGCTAAAATTTCTTTGTCTTCATTGATTCAATTTCAATCTTCGATCTCAATCAAATCGATCTTCAATGCGTAGTCTGATTTCAGCCTAATATAAAATTAATAGCTGAGATAACTAGCCATCTACTCGTAGTTCGGGGGCCAGTATCACTAATTTACTATCAAGTTAATAGCTTGTATCGCGTAAATAACAAAACAATATTGTAAGGACTGAGAGTAAGGCTGAGAGTAAGGCTCACTCAGTTCGGAGGCTAGCTATTTTTTACTGGCAAACTAATAGTTTGCACCGTGTAAGCCGAGCTTTAGTTATCTCAGAGATTCGTTCAGGGATTTGTTTACATTACGTATACTTTAGCAAAAATGCATGCCAGAGTTATCTAGGCATGCATTTTTGCTATAGTATACGTAATGTAAACCATAGTCTAGAATTATCTGGGCGTAATTCTCCTGAATGTACATACTACATACGTATATACTACAATTTTATTTGGATATATCACTATTGGTCACACGGATTTGTGCATTAAGGGTCAGTAGTTGGCCTATTTATGTAGTGAGGGAATGCCAGAACTGAATACTAGAACAAAAATGTTTGAAATAACTGGCAAAACCAATTACTGACCATCCAAGTTGCATGGTCAGTATAACTCGATTGATTTGTTTATAAAAAGCCAGTAATCGATCCTCAGTTACTTATCAATTCGTATGTCAACTCGCACCGTGTAAAATAAATACAAGGAAAACTCTCCTCCCTTCCCCCAGGGTTAACCAGCCGATCAATCAGCGACTATGTCAACGCACTATGTCACGCACACGTCAATGATGATCCGGCAAACTCATCGATCGATCTTTCTAACGACAATAATTTGTATTTGTCGAGAGCTTTTCGGCCGGTCGATCGATTCCGACCAGTTCAAAGAGATTTTCCGCTTTGCGGAATTTGCTCATTGAATTAGATTTTCTTCGCCGATGATTATACGAAAGTGACCGAGTTATGAATAAACAAGCATTGAAATTACTATAATTTTTGTTAGTCAATATGATAGAGATTCTACAAATTCTAAGACTTATTAACTTTTAAGAGGATCCTAAAGTCGTGTGTGTGTGTCTGTATTACCGACTAAACCATATTAATAATTTTTGTTATTATTATTATAACAATTACTTTTTTCCTCTCTTACTGATCATTTGAGAATTCTTTTCCAGAATTAAACCATTAATATCTACGTGTCTGTGAGGTGAAGCCTATGCTAAGAACGAAAAAAAATTTGGAAATTGAGATCTTTACCATTTCTTAGTCCAATATGACGCTCCAGAGCTGTCACGTCGTGACATTTGTTTCATATAAAAGTTGTGCAATCTATGCATACTTACGAAATAATTGTCCACAGATTAGTAGTTTACATGAAGAAACAGTGCGGAGGTCTTAAAATTGTATTTAGACGTCATGCCAGTTAAACGGGACGTCCCGTTCCTGTTGAACGTTTCGTTATAGTTAAAGCAGCTACCTAGTGGCAGATCTAGAATATTAGAAAAATCCAAAAATAGATCTCAAACGGATTACAAACGAACATTTTAATATTTCGAATATTTAATATTTGGATGTCCTGTGTTTGGATATATTGTATACGTAGGACATAATGAGACGCTCATTTGATGAGTCCAAAACAAGACGTTCTCAGGAGATGTTTAGAACATTTTTAGGCGCTTATTTATTAGAGCTAAGGATTATAAGGATATTCAAAAATTTGCTTAGTACAAAAAATTTCTTAGTACAATGTTCTAATCTCATATCTCATACATGTCTCAGGATATTCAAGATCATCCTTGTGCTGTTAGGGGAAATCAATTGAAGAATGTTTGAATTTCTTTTCTACTGTTTTTCTTGTTGCACTCGATAAACCTATCGTTATCCTTTGCGTTTCCCAGATTTTTGTTGATTATCTTTATATAATAAATTATACTGTGGAAAGAATAATACAGATAAATCGAGCGAAAATGCGATTATTATTTAAATTTTTTATCTATTATACATATATGTTGGATTGGTTTATTTAACAATCTCATCTTTTATGCTTTTGCATGACGATTCGTTGGATAGTGTTGTAGTCGACTTTTAAATAATCGTCAAGAGAATACTTATTCTTTTTAGGCCCGTTTTCACAATATGTAATTACTTTATAAAGATTAAAGGTTACCAAGAGATTCATCAATGAAATTTATTAATGCATTTCTTGATAACGCTTTAATCTTTAGGAGATTAAAGCCATAGATCGTGAAAATAGAGCTTAGAAAATACAATATTAGAAATAATATGTAATCAACCTCGTCCTTCGCTTGAAACGTTTTAACGATTCACTCCGCAACTGGTTTCAATTTCGCGGCCATTTTGAGAATATGATTGTTTACTAGAAGCATCAGGCTTTCTCGGACGCCAACAACAACCTCTGGCGGAGGCACAATATAGCGGAAAATTTAAATTGAAATTTGTCCGGATTTTGATGACACACCCTGTATACAGTATAACTATATGTAAACAAAATTTTGAATACTATAGTAAGTATAAAGTATGATTATTATATAATATTAGATATTAATTAATTGCAAAGCAAAAAAATAAATATCTAAATATCACATATAACGTGTATCAACAATTTTATTTTATAGCTAAAACATGATGGCAAATAAATGCCTTTGTTATTTAATAGCAGCACCGTTTGCTGTTTCTTAAGCTTTATCAAGCGAGAAATTGTGGCGAGAAGCGTAACACGATATATATCTGTTGGTGTTATTACGTAATACTTGTAACATAACGGCAAGAATGAGAGCGTAGTAACTAAGACGGCAATTACAACACGTGCTTCCTAGCTTCTACACGCTATCGAGACCGGAACAAGATTGTATTTTTGTTAAAAGCTTTGCATAAAAACGTCTGATTTTGCAAAAATATCTGATTTTGTTTTTTAACATTTTTATAGTATCATCGTGATCTGAACCAAAAATGGCGTCAGGTTTATCGAATGTTCATCAAAAGAAGCTTGGACCAGCGCCGATAGCATCCTTCGAGGACTTATCCGAGGAAGTGGAAAACGTGAGTCCTACCCTGAGTTTCCTTTACTAATTCATCCAGTCCGAGATCGGC